TCCCCTCCCCAGCACCAGCACCACCGCCCCAGTACCACCATCACTGCCCCAGTACCACCATCACCTTCCCAATACCAGCATCCCCTTCCCAGCACCAGCATCACCGCCCCAGTACCAGCACCAGCATCCTGGTTCACCCCAGCATCAGCATCAAAGCCCCAGTACCGGCATCCCCACCCTGCGCCAGCACTGGCACCAGCATCCCCAGTACCAGCATCCCCACCCCACTCCCAGTACCAGCATCCTTACGCCATCCTGACACCAACATCCCCGGTACCGGCATCTCTACCCCATCCTGGTACTGACAACCCCAGTACCATCACCCCCAGTACCAGCATCCCCCAGCCCACTAGGAGCAACCCCCACCTGGGGAGTCCCACAAAGGGCCACCCCACGGGCTCCCCATCATGGCCGCACGGTACCGGGACGGTTCAACCGCAGTTGGGAGCAGCAATTGCCCCTCAGGGCAGAGAGAGGGAGGACAAAAACAACCCAAAAGTACCCCGAGACCCCTCCATCCCCACCACCGGGACAGGACGGGGCAGCACACGCATGTTGGCATTGCAGGGTCACCGGTGCCGGCCCCATCCCTTCCCTCGGACACGAAAATCACTTCCCCCCAAAAATATCATCGTTGGGATGGGAAATTGTCGGCATGGGAAACCATCGTGGGGATGGGAAATCATCACCGGCATCACCATCACCATCCCAGTACCAGTGCGAGCGGCCGGGGCTCCTGTGCCATACGCAGACACATATACATATATGTATGTACCATGCACCTAATCGCTCTTCGGACTCCACGCTTTCCTGGCCCTGGGAGTTTTGTCCCAGGACGAGGACTCAGCCAAGCCAGAGCAGGATTTTCCAGTCCACGGCATCTCATTCCCAAGAGGGTGGTGGGGAGCAGCACCCTGTGCCCAGCCTGGAAAGATGCTGCCAGCATCTCCAGCTGGGAGAAAAGCCCCTTTTTCCGAGGGAGGAAAACCACCTGGATTAGCATCAACGCCGGGAGGATGGAGGCGTCAGCAGCCGGTGGCGGGGAAGGGCCGGCTCGACTCGCCCGGCCGAGCAGGGGGCCCAGCTCTCGGGGTGCCCCGCGGCTGTCTGGGCACACGGGGGCTGCTCCCCCAAGTGCCGGGGAAATCAGGTTGAACCTCCCTCGTTTCCAGCCAACCCTGTAATTAGCACTCGGCCCGTGCTGGCAAGCAGGATCCGGCCCTGGGAAGGAGCCGTGGCTGCCTCGGGGTGTGAGGCAGGGACCGGCTGAGCCCGGAAAACTCATCTCACACCTGGCCAGCGAGCAGGCATTGCTGGCCAGGGCTCGCCGTCCACCTCCGTGTGTTCCCCCCTGTTTTCCCTTCTCCTTCCCAGCCCATTGCACGCGGTGCTGCCCCAGGGCTCAGGATGCTTTTGCGAAGGGCGATTAGCCCTGCGGGAGACCCCGTCTGCAGGCA